AAAATATCAATATTGTGTCATCAACACTTTAATATATGCATTAAATCCTGTGAGAAAACATTTAAACACCAAGATCCACCAAAATACGCAGCAAACGATCTAAACTTAATTCAAAATTACATAAGATAAATGTCTCCCCCATAATTTTAGCAGGTATATAAGATACTCTGCCTGTTTCATAAATATTTGTTCCCTTAAAATAAGAAAATTAGAGGCAAAATTAGGTAATTAAAATGAATTAATAGTTTGTTTGTTTTTTCGCTTTTATTTGCAGGGAAATCATCTTATCCAATCAGCTGTTTTTCTTGCCTACTTTAATCAACGGGAAATATATTAATGTGAAGAAAATTGACTGACTTTTATTTAAGTTTTTACAGTGCATATGTAATGGACCTCACATCCGTCTATGATTGGATCAGACACATTTCTGTGTTACACGGGTTGTGAATTGGTCCTGTGTAAATGAGCCAGAGTTCATTTGAAAGAGATCAAGGAGAATAAATGAAGAGAAATCTGAACCTTCTTACATTTCAAATGAATGGATTCAAGTCAGACATTGTTCTGTTATAAATGTAGACCTCTTGTTGATTCTGATTTGATGGGTTTTAATAAATCTCCTTCCGTCTCTGGTTTTTGTAGGCAGTGGCTCCCTTGCGACAAAGTGACCCCTCTGGGAGTAGATGACACAGCTGACAGGTTATGCATAATTGGAGGGCCGCAAGTCCAGCATCTGCAAGTCTGTACAGGTGGCGTACGACCGCGCCATGATCCACCAGAGCCGAGTCAGCCACAGCCACTGCTTTGCGACCTCTAACTACCTGTAGAGATCAGAGTCCCAGACTGAACCACTGCTGTCGGACATACAGAACTGTTCTGCTCCGGCTGCTTTGTGTCCTTAGAGGAGATCATGGAAATGAAGAGACCTTAAGCCCCACATTGCTGCTGTAAGCATTAATTCCCCATTTAGGGATGTGTTGGTGTCTGCTTACTCCACCTGGATCTCAGGAATCTGTTTGATCAAATGTAATTGAGCCTGAGCTTAATGAAACCTGCTGCCAAGGAATCAAACGGACAGAGAAGAGATTTGAATGAACTGCAGGAGACTGATGGATGCATCACTGCCTTCTTTTATACAACAGCTTTTCTATGTTTTAAACTTTTTACTAAAGACTTTTGTATATTTTACTGGCAGCTTCTTTTTGTACATATGTCTGTGTGTAATTTAATGTTTTAAATGCGTATTTCAATCATCTAAAGGGCAAAGCAAAGGCTCTGTGTGACGATGAAATGATAAATGGAACGTATGGTAGGTTAAGAGTTTGCATTGTATATTCTCGGCATGATGAGCCGATTTATATTTGAAATCTCTTTTTGATGCAGAGAAATAATTTTTTGATGGAAAAAAAACTATAGAAATAAAGTTATATCAGTTAAATTTAGTTTTTATTTAAGATAAAGAGATGAAAGTCAGCATTGAAACAGATGACTTGATGTTTTTTTTTTCAGTTGTTTCAAACTCATCACCAAACAGCAGCTTTTTCCATTGACCCTCATTGATTTTATTTATTTCCCAAAGCCCTATTTCACCCAATAAACAGTACACCTACACTATTGATGCTCTACTCTTCTTCCTACTAACTGGAAGAGTTTGAAGTTGGTAAGCAAAGTTGTCTTTACATACATGCAGTGTTGGATGTAGTACTCAACAGGAGTACTTGAGTAAAAGTATTGATACTCATAGTCAAATCTTACCCACTTATCTGATCCGTATGCCATTAATACTCGACTAAAGTCACTATTCTGCATCTTGCTACGTAGCAGCAGCAGGAAAAACAACCATGGCGTACGATAATGAGAGCATTCTTTATTTTCAAACATCTTGAAAAGATTGTGTTGTTAATGCACTGGCTGAGGCTGGGAAAGAAATGAAAGATTGCAAATGCGCTCCAGCTCTACCTTCCATGTTTACTTCCGTAAACACAGAACACGCTCCTTTGTGACACTTAAGTTTAATAAATTCAGTTCACAAAGGAGATTACATATTTGGAAATGTGATCAACCACGAAAAACAATCAGATTTGCAAGCGTAGAAGAAGAAGTTCCGCTTTTCACCTGTTTATTTTCTGCCGTGAGCCAGGTGAGCACGAGGTTAGTCTCTCTCAGAGTTGGAACACCAATTTTCTTCTTCTACGCTTGCATTATCGGCAGAGCAGACGCTGAATGCGCACTTTCATCTGGTTTGGTCTGCCGCGGTTTCCGTAGAGTCGTGAACTCGTAGGCGCGCGCTTTTAGGAGATCCTATACACTACTGTTTATGCTCTAAAAACATTCTAAATGACTTCGTTTCGAGTAAATTCTGGATGCTACCCACTCAGGACACTTGGAATACATTGGACGAGCAGTATGGAGGAATATTGACATGTTTTTTGTGGACTTTTATGGACCCTTCTGCCTCGGGCGCCATAGACCTCCATTATTTGAATGTCAGCAGACAGCAAGAAGCCTCCCAGATCTCCAGATGCATTTGAGATATCAAAAAAGTACTCCAGAGTGTTGTTCAGCATGGGGGTGAGTAGAAAATGAAGGCTAATCATGTTTTGGGTGTACTATTCCTTTAATATGGGAACACGTAACAGAAGTCAACAAAAACACAGAATCAAATCTAAACAGAAGCATCCAATTAGATCCTATTTACAACATGGTGAAGATAAATTGAGTTTATTATGGCATTCAGAGAAACATCTTCAAGGAAGCTCAGCCAATCACAGACAGTGGTTAATTTTACAGCAGTCCTTCCTCCTGAGCAGTGAAGTGGTGACAGTAGAGAGGAAATCCAGGTTTAAGCAGAAAGGAACCTCCAGCAGCTCCATGTCAGCGCCCATCTACTGGAGGAGCGGGTCTTTATCAGGATAGAAAACATCCAACAGACACAGAGGCGCCGGTCCAAGGAGCAGATGACCTCATCTGGAGAAGAAGAACAGGAATTAGTGAACAACACGCTAGTCTGTGACATTTAAACACATGAACACTGGGAGAGGTAAAACTTTAACCAATAGAAGAGGGAACACACACAGGGAGAACCTAAAGTTAGCAGAAGTGATAACTGTAAACAATGGATGCTTGGAGAAAATGCCTGAAAATGCTGCATTTGTTGGAGTCTTCAGTCGGTCGTTTCTCTGCTTTAATAAGTTCTAAAAAACCCTTCAAGATCAACCAGGGGGAAATTCTCCCATATTGGATCAGAAACTGCTTCTTAACTTGTTTATCTGTGATCTAATGGAAAAGTCAGAACTTCTGGTTCTGGTAACGGTTTGGTTACAGAGATGCAAATAGAGGTGAACATCCATTCATGATGGAAAGATGAAGATTAAAGGTTAGACCACCTTGATGGGATGGTTGTATCTGTTAAATCTGTTTGTTCTGGATCTGTTTTTAGTATCTTCACCAATACTGATGAACATCTGGAAGCAATAAAGGTTTGTTATCTTCTTCTACTGGGTGTAGCAGACTGATGATTTAGCTGTGGGGTCGTCAACATTATTTTACTCCAGGACTCCAGAACGTTGGAGAGAGTCTGGTTTCTCCATCCTCTTCTTCAGCTCCTTCATCAATGAAAGCAAAGTGTCCTCAGAGTCTGTCTGCATGTGATGCTTCTCTAGTCAAATAACAACCAACATACCTCCAAACACATGTGGATGGATTCTGTTCCAATGTGATCCGGCTGCTAGATCACTGTTTCCATGTTCAACCTGCTTTCCCTGAAAAAAAATAAGACAAATTAATCTACAGAATTTCCTCGACACCAAGTTTAAATCTGTGGCAGGATGTTGTTTTCATCATAATCTTGGTCTTTCTGTGTTTCAGTGATTGTTAGCTTTTAATCAGGCCTGGGAAGCTTGAGTTGTCGGCTTGTCGTGTTAATAAAGTCTTACTCCGTGTGCTTTCTGTTCCAGTCTTTCTCTGTGCCGTCCTCAGGTGGGGACTGGGAAGCTCCTCACCATCCTGGATGTCCCGGTTCCTCACAGGAGTTCTGCTTTAGGACGACCACAGAGTCTGAAATTAACATGAAAAACTAAGTGAGGCCATCTGAAATGTTGACTTTCTATTTAAATGATGGATTATTGTTGCTCCTTAGTGAACATGCTCTTACTCTTTGTGAAGGTCAGCAGCTCAGATGATCCTCCTCTGGTTTGGTCGCTGCAGATCTCATCAGCATCTTCTGAAGGCCCAAAGCTTGGAGAGGCTCGGTCCAACATGGGATTCAAAAAACACAGAAGAGATCCACTGCGGTCAGAACAGGCCTAGATCATATGGAGAATGTTTCTGCAGAGGGTTCTTTTCCCTCAAACTAGGCCTGAAAACTAACTGATCAGAGGAACATCTAGAACTAGACCAAGTCGCATCGGAAAGCTGTTTCTAACAGTCTGCTCCTCTCACAACCCAAATCCCTACATCCGTCCAGTCCTCTGCCTCAAACCGGTCTAAAATCAATTATCAAGCGTCATCTCTACCTTTTCACCAACATCCCAGAGACCAGTTCAGGTCCGGTAAAAGGCTGTTTGTTTGATCCTGGTGTGTTGGAGGAGAGATGCATCTGAAAACTGCAGAAACACTGTTGTAGAGGACTGGAGTGAGAAACCTCTGCTCTAGACAGCTTCTAATCAGCCTCCATTACAGCCGCTTCTCTCTGCCTATACACTCACCGGCCACTTTATTAGGTACCCCATGCTAGTAACGGGTTGGACCCCCTTTTGCCTTCAGAACTGCCTCAATTCTTCATGGCATAGATTCATCAAGGTGCTGGAAGCATTCCTCAGGGAGTTTGGTCCATATTGACATGATGGCATCACACAGTTGCCGCAGATTTGTCGGCTGCACATCCATGATGCGAATCTCCCGTTCCACCACATCCCAAAGATGCTCTATTGGATTGAGATCTGGTGACTGTGGAGGCCATTTGAGTCCAGTGAACTCATTGTCATGTTCAAGAAACCAGTCTGTGATGATTCCAGCTTTATGACATGGCGCATTATCCTGCTGAAAGTAGCCATCAGAAGTTAGGTACATTGTGGTCATAAAGGGATGGACATGGTCAGCAACAATACTCAGGTAGGCTGTGGCGTCGCAACAATGCTCAATTGGTACCAAGGGGCCCAAAGACTGCCAAGAAAATATTCCCCACACCATGACACCACCAACACCAGCCTGAACCGTTGATACAAGGCAGGATGGATCCATGCTTTCATGTTGTAGACGCTAAATTCTGACCCTACCATCCGAATGTCACAGCAGAAATCGAGACTCATCAGACCAGGCAACGTTTTTCCAATCTTCTATTGTCCAATTTCGATGAGCTTGTGCAAATTGTAGCCTCAGTTTCCTGTTCTTAGCTGAAAGGAGTGGCACCCGGTGTGGTCTTCTGCTGCTGTAGCCCATCTGCCTCAAAGTTCGACGTACTGTGCGTTCAGAGATGCTCTTCTGCCCACCTTGGTTGTAACAGGTGATTATTTGAGTCACTGTTGCCCTTCTATCAGCTCGAACCAGTCTGCCCATTCTCCTCTGACCTCTGGCATCAACAAGGCATTTCCGCCCACAGAACTGCCGCTCACTGGATGTTTTTTCTTTTTCGGACCATTCTCTGTAAACCCTAGAGATGGTTGTGCGTGAAGATCTCAGTAGATCAGCAGTTTCTGAAAACTGCTGATCTACTGCCACGTTTAAAGTTACTCAAATCACCTTTCTTCCCCATTCTGATGCTCGGTTTGAACTGCAGGAGATTGTCTTGACCATGTCTACATGCCTAAATGCACTGATTTGCCGCCATGTGATTGGCTGCTTAGAAATTAAGTGTTAACGAGCAGTTGGACAGGTGTAACTAATAAAGTGGCCGGAGAGTGTAGGCTTTAAGTTGAACTCAACTCCACGTTGTCCTCAGCAGGGATGTCCATCTGTTTCATTGGATTGGTTTGCCTATTTGTGGTTTTCAACCAGGATTCATTTTTTTGTCTTCTGGTGTTTTTATTTGTTTTTTGTTAACTTGCTTCCATCATCTTAATGGTCTTCATCATGATCTTCTTCCTCAGAGCTTGTGGTGTCAGGAGACTCACCAAAAATTGCCCTAATATTATTAACATAAGTATCTACCTCCACAAAATTTGGCATCTCCTCTTCCTCCTCCTCCCCCACTATAACTTCTAAGTCTACCTCATGCCTCAGCACCAACTCTATGCCTACGACGTCTCCCTCCTCCTCGTGATGCTCCAGCACCAACGCTTCTATGTCTACCTTCTCCTCATCATACTCTAAATTCACCACTAGTTCTCTGAATTCTACCTCCTCATTATCATCCTCACTGTTAATGGGGTACGCTACTATCATAGTAAACTGATTTAAATTACCCTCATCCTCTATCCAGAGTTGGGGCTCTCTAAGCTTTCTAAGCTTTTCTACTTGAAATATTGAGCAATAATTCTGAATTTAGAAAGAAATTTCACTCCGAATGAGAGAGGTGTTTTTTCCCCAATCGCCATTCAGTTTTGCATCCATGTACACACCCATTCAGTCCGTTGGAGTAAAATAATCTCCACTGCATATGTCCAGTGGTGGACGAAGTACTCAACAGTAGTACTTGAGTAAAGTATTGATACTCGTTGTCTAATCTTACTTAACTAAAATTCAAAGTTACTCAGTCAAGCTGAAGTATTGAATTTTCTAAATATTCAAGTGAGGATTCAATAAGTATTAGTATTCAAAAATACAAGCAAAGTGTTATAATATCAGTATTTTTCTGTGTAATTTTTAGTCTTTTTAAAAAAAAAAATTGATGCGTAGAACCACCTGCTACCAATTCTACACCACTTCAGCATAAAAAGGCACAAAAAATAAAGACAGCTATCTTGATTATTATTTATTATTCAAAAACAAACCAAAAAGAAAACAGGGAAGCCTTGATTCTCCTCAAACTGTAAAGGTTTAATGTTTAATCTATTGCCACAAAGAAACTACAACTCTGATTTGAGAACTTATCTGAACAACCTGGCCAAATGGCAACAACTAATGCCTTAATAAAATGAATAAACTATCAATAAGATCTGCCCTGAGTTTCTCACATTTGGGGAATGTCATGCTAATCTCTAAACCAGAGGTGTCCAAATTCAGTCCTAAAGGCTGCTATCTTGAATGTTAAAATTGCTTTTCAAGAAAGAAAAACACAACAATGGATTAAAAAGCTAAACTGTGCCAAAAGGAAGAAGTGATGAGCAGTAAATTTACTTTGTTCCTTTCCACCCATGGTTATAACATAATGTGGATTGATTCCCTAATTCATTAGAAGCGCTGCATATAAAGCATTAGGGCTAAAGCTCTGCTTTTTCTGCAGTGATGTAGGCTAGTAGACCAGTTCTTCCTGTATGGGTGCTGCAGCATCATGTATTGATGGTCTTTTCTCTGACTCAGTCACATGTGGACTTGCTCTTGAACACTGAGACTCTGGATTTTATTTCAAGACTAAAGCTGTGGAAAATTTTATTTTTTGAAGTGAAATATGATAGTTCAAATAACGTAACCCAATGATAGTTTTGCAGAACTGCTAATGCTGTCACTCACTGTTCAGTACAGATTTTGAATGTGACTTGAGATGCATGAATCTATTTGATGAAACAATTATCCTAAATTAACAGTTAAATATATTTACTGCAGAGAAGAGCATAAGGGCTCCTCTTCCCTCCATAAAAGACATTTCATTCCAGCGCTGCGTGTCCCGAGCCCATAACATTATAAATGACCTCTCACCCCCCCACCATGGACTGTTCCCCCTGCAGCTCTCTGGGAAGAGGCTTCGCAGCATCCGATGCAGGTCCAGCAGATTCCAGAACAGCTTCTTCCCCACTGCCATCAGACTGCTGAATGTTGTATAAAATGGGGTTAAAAAAAAAGCACTGAATGTTGGAAAAACTGTAAATCATATCTCTGTCTTATGTTTACATTTGATCACCATGTTTATATTTTATTATTGCTGCAATTTAAGAAATGGAAATACTCTGCCTCATTCCCAAGTCACTTTAAGTCTCTAAAAAAAAAAATTCTATTTTTTTACTGTTTAGCTTCATCAAACTCCCCCAGAAATCTAGGCAGTTTTCCGGCTGCAGAAAAGTACACCCATATCATGGTTTGGCCAGAACCCCATTTCATTCCACTATGCATATTGTTAAATAAACCGAAAACTTCAATTATGGTCTCATCAGAGCTCCTCCACATGTTTGCTTTGTCTCCTAAAAGACTAGTGGCAGACTTTAAAACAGGAATTCTAATGTACACCTTTATACTGCTTTTCTTTTTAATACAGCTGGAAATAAGGCTTGTACACAAATAAGGTCAACAGATTTTCCCAGCTGAATCTGAGCATCTTTTTTATCTGCACCTCTGCTCATTCTAATATAAAGTTAGGGTAATTTAGCCATCTCTTAAAGATGTTTCAATAGTGCTGTACTTTTCATATTTCAGATGATCGAGTGAACAGTTTAAAATTAGATACTCAAAACTTGGTAAAAAGCTTTATAGCAAATTTCCACTAACCTACCTATCCACTACATTATCTGTCTTCTGTGTTTCTTGGTCTCCATGATGCTGTTTATTCTCTAATGTTCTAATTAAAGAACACACTTTATTGGATAAGTAGGTGCCCTCTAAAGCTAAGGAGTTGCACTAAACATTACTTATGTCAGAGTAAAAGAGAGGTAAAGCTTGGAATCCTGAGGTTCTGAGTTCAAACCCCACTCCCACAGACTACCAGTCTGGGCCTCTGAGCAAAACCCTGTGACCCATCCCTGCTTCCTAGGTACCCAGCGATGGCAACCCACTGCTCCCTAAGGGGATGGGTTAAATACAGAGGTAAATTTCTCCAAAGTGAGATTAATAAAGTTAAGTTGTTATTTTTTATCGCAGGAACTTTATGACCCAATGTGTCCTTGTAATTTCTCAGTTTCTCTGACCGTGACTGAGTGGATGTGCTCTCTTCGTCCTCTGGCATGGGAGCTGCCTTGGAGCTCGTCTGCCTGGCTGTGTGTTTCCTGGACGGGGCCGCCTTTTACAGCTGCTTTTTGTATCTCTGCTTCTGTCTCCTTGAACCCCAGTCGGCCTCGGCAGATGGCCGCTCACACTGAGCCTGGTTCTGCTGGAGGTTTCTTCCTGTTAAAAGGGAGTTTTTCCTCTCCACTGTCGCTACAAGCATGCTTAGTGTGGGGGATTGTATTTGAGTCAATGAGTCAATGCAATCAACTGGTTTTCCTTAGATAGAAAACTTTGTATCAATT